CTGCGCATGCTCATTCCTCCCCTCCCCCAGCCCCTGACTCGGCCGTTCGGAGACGGTAAGGGACGGAGGGCGCCGCGCTACGGGAGCCGGGAGGGGCCAGGCCCGGACGCGGAGTGCGGGGGGGTTCGGCCGCAGGGGGAGGGGGAGCCCTAGAGCGCGCCGCCGCCGTACGTGCCGCCGCCGGGAGAGGGACGTCGCGCCGCCGCGGGGGGGGGAAGGGGGGCTGAGTGGCTGCGTCCGCTCGGCGCGCGCCCGCCTGCCTGGAGCGAGGGGCGGGAGGAGGGGAGGCCACACCCCCTCCCCAGGGGAGCCCCGCCCCTGGCCCCTGCGCGGGGGCACAGCTGGGCGGGAGGCGCTGGGCCCCGACCGTTCTTTGGGGCGGGGAGGCTTTGGGCCCCCCCCCCGGGGGTCTCATAGGTAAAGGGGGTTGGTGACCTCTGACCCCTCCCATCCCCTCTTTTCAGGGGAAGAGGGCTGGTGACCTCTGACCTTTCGGGGGGGGGAGCTGGTGGCCTCTGGCACGTGCCCTCCCCACTCAGTTGTCCAAGGCCACAGGTGGCATCTGGGGGAGTTTGTGCTGCCTGAGCCCCGCCCTGCCAGCCACGGGGGAGGGGGTTGGTGGGGCAATCGTGAGAAGGCTCCTGCCCCCTTCTCCTCTTGCACTACTCACGGTGAAGAGGAAATCTGGGATGTGTATGGCCGGCCAATACCTTCTGCTCCTCCTTCCCAGCCAGCACGCCATAGACCGACCCCCCCCCCCCTGCACACACGCTGACTAGGGGTCAGCGCAGCTCGGGCCCTTTGGACACCTGACTCTGAAGGTGGCATCCCACTTTCTCCAGTCCCTATGGGATGATGGGGACACTGGGGTGGAGGGAGGGTCTCATGCTCTCTGAGTTCCTGACGGCCAGTGGGTAAGGGGTTGTTAGGGTGGAGGCTCGCCCCATCTGATCTTCAGTGTGAAGGTAGTTTTGGGGGACAGCCATGTGCCTGTTGTCTACTGGCCGTGCAGGTGTGAAGGGGACTGGGCATCCTCAGACCACCTGTGTGTTTAGATTATTGAGGCCTTGGGGGAGGTGGGAGGTTGGGCCTTTTGAATCTCTAGTGGTTACACCAGACTGGAGAGTGAAAGGTATGTGTATAGGGGGTGAATGCAGTGCTCTGTTCATCCCAGACATGAGTGTTACCCTTATGACCTTGACTACAGATGGATGAGTGGTGGCTGGGTGGGTTGAGTCCTGTGTTGTCCTGATGCTGAAAAGGTGACTGGTCTCATGTTCTGGGACCGATAAAAAGTGTGAGTATGTCCTCCATACCCAGGACAGGTGAAGGATCTTGCACCATGTTCTCTTAACAGCCAAAAAATGAAAGGAGTGTGGGGTCTCACCCTCCAAAGCCTGACTACTGAAAGGTGACTATTTTAGGGCTTGTGCACCTCCATATGGAGGGGTGAAGGATGAGACATTTCTAATGCTGTGGCCTTGGCTGCAGTGGGATGTGTGAACACTTAATGAGGGAATGTTATGCTGAGTTTCATAAATCCAGCCCTAGACGCCACTGAACATGGACCCAAGAATATACAGCCTCTGATGTGTAGTAAGTGAACTACAGAGAATTGTATTGTTCCCATGGGACCAAATCTGCCTGTATTTCAGGCACACAAGATGCGGGAGAACAAATATCAGGTATAGGACTCTGCCATTCCTAGGGCATTTACAGTGCTGAATGGGGACTGCAGATGCAGTTCAATTGTACGTATTTCAGGTCCAGAAGCAACTGAACTCAGCCCTCTCAGGAGACTTCACTGCAGATTTGTCTTGTCTGAGCCCATGTGACTCCTCTTCCTGGTAACATCTGACACTAGATGCTTTGAGATGCTATGACGCTCCCAGAGTTCCCTCTGACAGAGACTGCAGATCCGATTTCCCCCTAGACACAGACAAGACCAACCTAAGCCAAGGAAATATTGAAAACAAAGGAGAACTGATCTGATAGCTAGATCCTACCATATTCTCCTTGAGCAATTCTGAGTTGGGCATCCCAGGCAGCCACAACCTTACTGGGCCACTTGTCCATTGGCCACATCATGTTTCTATTCCTTGCTTCGTTCCGGGTCGCTTCTCTGCCATGTTCTGATTGGTCCCAAAGCACACTGCAAATCTGAACCAGGATAACTAGTCTGTCTGTCTGAAGCAGGGATGTGTGCTTTTGTTTAGGTCAGCGCATAAGCAAAGGTTTTCTTGGTAAGCTGTGCCTTACATTTGGACCTAAACAGAGTCAGGCTTAGACTCAGCCTGATCTCATCTGGCAAGGAATGCCACAGCTGGAGGTCTGCCACAGCTGGAGGTCTGCCACAGTTGGAGGTCTGCCACTGAGAACACTGCCTCCAGCAACCCAATAATGTAAACCTGGGTCTCTCTGTGAGGAGGGACAATTAATGATGTGTACACATACATGGAGGCTATTCCAGATGGCAGGAGGTGCAGAGGAGAAGGCTTTCGTATCAAGGACGGTGAGACTGGGGAAGAGCAGAGAGGAGGCCAGCTAGACAAGACGAGGTAGAGAAATAGACATGGTGTCTGAGACAGACTGGTGCAAGTCTGTGGAGGGTTTTAAAACCAAGGAGAACAATCTTGAACTGGAGCCTGGATTACGTCAAACAAATTACATAATGTGTTATCCTCTCTCCATGCTTTTTAGGCAAGGATAATAATAATAAAAAAAAAGCAGTTAACTCCTCCGGTAATAAAATTACATGTATATTTTTCCATGTGAGCACTAGAGAATATTCCAGCAAAGCACAACAAATACTCAAGGTGCTTTCAGTAAAACGCTCTGAAGATCTTTACTCCCATCCCTCCTCAATTCATCTTTGACGCTACGATCAGTCTTACATTTATGCTTGCATGCAGTGGGGAAAGATCTGGTAATAAAAGATTATGGCATCAGAATGCCTGCTAGGAATCTTGCAATTAAGGAAAGGAGGAAATTAGCCCCATCTTAGAAACCCGTCTCCCAGCACACTCATGTCTGCTGCTAAGACCAAGCATGTGGGCTAGTGCTGACGCTGACCTGGCTGGCCCTGATTTTGCAATGTTTGGTTCTTAAACTACACTGTACAGGTAATTCCACTCTGCATTCTGTCTGCTGTTAAAATGTTTGTGAATATGGTACTGTGGGGTTCTGTGTTTTTTGTCTCTCGCTGATAGCAGATCTAAATGGTCTCAATTGGCTGCTCTGCAAGCTGAGAGGTACGCTCTCTGGCTTATACATGCCCATCATCAGAAGCCCAATATCCCCTTCTCTTTCATGGCACCTGTTGCACTTCAGTTTGCTTCTGCAGCATGGAGTTTTATCAACAACTAGTGCTCCCCTTCACCTGCTCAGAGATTGAGAATCGTTCTTCTGTAAGCATCTCAGCTCCCACTAGTCCAATATCATTTTGTTAACTGCGGCAGGACTGCTGGCGACGGTTGCTCTTCCATTTTGACACCATAGAGCATTCTTGTTCTTCCCCTGAGAGTGAAACCAGGGTAAATAGCTGCCTCTGCTTGTCCGCTACAGCACGCTTGCCACCCAGCCCTTTGACTGCATGTGAGAAATGGCAAATGCCGAAGTGAGCGTCCCTGTGGGGGATGTGGTGGTTGTACCAAGCGAAGGAAATGAAGGGGAGAACCCGGAAGATACCAAAACCCAAGTGATACTACAGCTACAGCCAGTGCAACAGGGGTGAGTGATCCATGTAGCTTTGCCTGTTCTAGACTATTGACACGCATGTGGGTGCACAGGTGTGGGAAGGGGGTATGTTTGCAATGTGGCTAATCTCATGTATGTGATCCAAGGCATGTCCATTTTCAGCATGCTCTTTAAGGGGTACTTCTGAAAGGGTTATACTTTGATTGAGTCTGTTCTGCAAGCCTTAGAGGAAAAGAGAAATTATAACTGATTAAAACGTTAGCCTCTAACAATGACCTAAAGTCGTTCACATACTAAGGTAGTGACTTTAAGATTCAATATCTTGGGAATTCCCAAGCTAGAAGCAAGCCCTGGGTGTCTCAGAGGGAAGCTGAGAATCCCTCCCCTTTGCAATGGTTAGGATCATAGGAATTGCCATACCGGATCAGATTTGTGGTCAGATCTAGTCCAGTACCCTGTGTAACAATGGCTAGTACTGAGTATTTCAGTAGCAGGTGCAAGAAATCTCCATAATGAACAATTACCGAATAGCCTGTACTTAGGGGAAGTCTTTTCCTAACCCCAAGCAGAGATTGGTTTATGCCATGAATCATGATGGTCTATGTCCCTTATTTTGTAATCCTATCCTGTGTAATTGGATTTTCTCATTAGCCATATATAGATGTCTGATCCTTTTTTGAATCCTGCTCAGCTCTCAGATTGAATGTCTTGTAGCCATGAGTTCCACAGATTAATTATATGTTATGTTTAAAATAAAGTTATAATACTTCTGCTTCTAGCCCTAATGGGTCATGAGATATTAGACCTTAAACTTGTCATTGTTCGAGGACTAAATACTGCTCCTTCTATTTTAGTTTGTTCTATTTGGGGTCACATACTGGGCCTGCCACTATGGTATCTGAGCTTTGGGCCAGTGTAATTATAGGACAGGGGAATTCCACGTTCCCTAGTAGTTTGTTGGGTTTTTTTAATGGCTGCTCAGGGGTATGAATGTTAAAACGACGCCTGGGGAGATAGATTAATGAGCCGCATGCAGTTGAGCCAGGCAAAGGGGCATGATAAGTGCAGTTGATCACATGGAAACCACCACCTATGTGATAATGTAACTATATCGACATACACAAGCGTCTGTTCCTGCTTTGGCATCCCCTACTGTGAAATATAATAAAGCCAGGGTGCTAAATGTTGGCAGCTGCAATAGATGGCAGTGTATTATGGTACCCTGCATTGGCAGTCTCTTTCTAAAGGGACAGATGACTTCCACCAGTTACATGCCTTTTAATCAATAAATATATTGCAAAAAACATTAGTACAAAATGAACTGGGATTTTACATGCATAAAACTCATAACATTAAAAGTGCAGATTTATACAACAAGTAACTCTGTCCCTTTGCCTGTCGGCATGACAACTGAATCTTTCAGTCTGTGATCACAAGGAGGATATACAGTGATGCAAAATGCCACATGTGTATATCTGAGGTGGTAGGCAAAGTTGCAGTATAAAAGTAAAGCAGAGAATTTACAGTTTTACTGGTGGAGCAGTGTGGGGGTGGGGAGTGTAGCATTGGTAACAGCTATGCATGTTTTAATCCCTGGTAACTATTACTCAGTTTTTATATCTGAACCCCCTCTCCTCCCTTTCCCCTCCCCCTCCCCAAAGTTTGTAAAACAAAAGATTTTGTCCCTAAGGGACAAGTAAGCAAAAAAATGAAATGAAGTTTTTAACCCTGTGCTATGAATCTTAATTTTTCCGTGATTTATATAGTTTGTTTATCGATGGACACTTTTACAACAGGATTTACGAAGAGGGCTCTGAGACCAGTGCCGCTGTGGTGGCTGTAGAAACACATACCATACACAAACTAGAAGAAGGGATTGGTAAGTTTCTCTTTGGTGTGGGCATAAACATGTCTCCTTCAGAATTACTTACCGTTTGATTTGCACCTTTAATACACTGGGGTTCTCTCGCCACTGGGATCGGCAGTTGGGGATGTTGTTTCCCCAGGACGTGGAGTGCATTGTCTTGGGGTGTTCCCATCTGGATCACCAGTGCTATAGTTGACACTAGGACTCTAGATACTGGGGGTGAAATCCTGGCTCCAGTGAAATCAATGGCAAAACTTGCATGGGTTGCAGTGGAGCCAGGAATTCACCTTGGAGGCCTTCTTGGTACACAGGTGCTAGCGTCTGTGTACCAGAACGGCAGTTGTACAGTGTTTGTGTGAGCAGGGAATCCCAACAGGAACTGTTTGAGCATCCGTGCCAGTCCCTGTCAAACAGTTGGCTTCTTGCTTTGTATGGATTGATACAGGTTAAGGGTTTGGGTTAAATATAATGAGCTGAGCATGCTGGCTCTGCAGTGCTCCCTGCCAGCCCAAGGAGCAAGAGCCTGGGGGAAGTTCTCTCAGAATCACACAGTGGATCTTGGCTCTAGCATTCTGCCCCTTCTCTGTGTGTGGATCTCCCATTGACGTTAGTAGAAGATCAGCACCTGCACAGAACAGGCTTTTGGAGCAGAGACCCACTGCTTAGATACCAGAGCAGAACATTGTCCTATGTCTTAAATTTAAACTGAGATTTCCCACGTGACAGGATGTGGTTCTACTTACTGACCCTTGGTGACCTTTCTAAGTGCTTGCGTTGGATGCATTTTGCTAGCATTGGTGATCACTTCAGACAGATTCTGCTAATGTCTACGGTTTTCTTTGGGTGTCACCATTTAGAAGGAAGTCACCTGCTGCAGGAGAATGGACCCTTTAGCTGCATTGGCTTTATGGGGCTGGGAAGGATAAGAGGCGTATTGCTGAATTAGGAAGTGTCCTACTCGCGAAACTGGACGTTCACATCTCTGCCTTTGTGATTTGAGCTCCCAATAATGAAAATCTCATGTTATCCATGCTTCTGCCTGCAGACCCCAGCACCATTGAAACTAACGAGGAAATTGAGATTGCCTACCCCATCACCTGTGGGGAGAGCAAAGCCATCCTCCTCTGGAAGAAGTTTGTCTGTCCAGGAATTAATGTCAAGTGCGTCAAGGTAACTTGTTTGCTATAGAGTAGCCTGATTTCATTTGCCAGATCCCCTCTCTGAAGCTGGGACTGTGGCAGGTCATCTTCTTTCTTCCAGTGTATTTTATTCTCTCTCTCTCTTTCTCAGTTTCATCTGTCTCTCTACACTGGAGTTTGTTAAATGTGCTTAGGCAGCATGCAGGGCCACAAACATGGGAGTTGGTTTTGTCTCTGTAAGAGGCAAGGCCATGAGCAGATTTTCAGGGAGAATCTCAGGGTGGAGGGTTCTCAGCCCCATTTTTTTTCTGAGTCGCTATTGATCCCTGTTTAAAGTCCTGCTTTTTCTTTCTTTTCTTCCATCACATTCCCTTGGAGCCATGTTGTGATGGTTTCTAGGGGTGCACAGGACTGTGTGTGTGAGAGAGAGACTCGCTGGTGCTTAACTGGGCATCAGCTCCTTGATACCAGGAGTCTGTTAGCTGTCCAGACAATCTCCTCAGGGCTCTGCCAGCCCTCACTTTGCCTTGCAGGTTAACAATAGGTGTATCTGAGCCCCTCTGAAACCATGTCCTGTAGTATCCAGCCCCTGTCTATGGATACTCACAGAAAATACCAGGTGAGCTGTCCCCAAAGGAACAGGGCTCACACCAGTTTGATTCAGCTGAGGGTCAGCTCCAATATAACATCACAGCACTGAGATATATTTATAGAGAAAAAAGTCTGTGTGTTATCAAAGGCTGAGATTTAAGAGATAGTGAGTAAGGATAACGGAAACAGAAATAATTACATATAAAACAAAATAATAAAACACAGTCTGGGTCTACCCTTGTTAATGGTTACCTTTTCTATATAATCAAGTAGATTTCCCCCCAAAGGGTCAGTCTTTTGCAGAGCTAGCTAGTTTAAGACAAACCAGGATGCAAATATTCATGAAGCCCTCTCTGCCAGGGGTTTTCCTTAGTGAATGGATAACAAAATGTCTTTTTGCCTCTCCTTATATTTCCCAAAATTCATTGTTTTTGCCCCGGAATCAGGATGACCCCTGTGATTCCTTTCCTGGTGTGCTGGCTCCAAGTTGCCTTCACATCCTTGCGTTGACTCCATATGCAAAACATGCTTCCTTATGACGCTTAATCTACATATGAACCTAGGCAGATAGGCGAATATACACCCTTTTGTCTGGCAAAACCTGTGTGTCAACACTGTCTGGGACAAAGACTCTAAAACATATTTTAGGTACATATACACAACTCCTTAAATATGATCAGTACATATATCTCACAGTGCTTCTGAGGATCAGTATGTCATAAGCTTTTATTAGAGACCTCACATGACCCTTTTGGGATAAATACTATGACAGCCGTGTGTTAGGTATAGTAAGGTTGTCGGGTCTGATAAGAGTTGCTGTTACAGAACAGTGGACCCTTTGCCGCTTGGCTTTGAAGGGTTCTTAGGGTCACACCTGTCATTGGGGAATATTCCTGAAGTAGTGCAGGCCCCCCGCAAGCATTCCATTCCTGACATGCTGGCTGGGGAAAGGGAACCCTGCTGTCGGGTCCCCCAGCTGGCAATGTGATAAGCTATTGAGGTTAATGCCAGTGTGTGTGTCTGTATGTTCACGCAAGTCCTGCAGGCCAGAAACGCTGAGGGCAGAGCTTCTTGGTTCCTGCAGCTGGTGTGCACTTTGTGGCTTCAGTGTTTTACTGCTTGGCTTTTAGGAGGGCATGTCTCAATTATTGGTGGGAGGTAAAGTTGAGGGTATTTCCCAAGCAAAATGCTCATGCCACACGGATGGTGCAGTGTCATTTGACACATAGAGCTAATTCAGCCTAATGTAAATAAGATGTGTGCATCACTTTAAACTGCCATGTATTTAATGAAGGGAGTTAAAGGATTAGAAGTATGATTTGAGGGTGGCCAAAAGGGTAATTTTTAAAAAAAGTTCCGTTTAAAGCACTCGACACTTTATAACTAGGAGGATGAAGGAATTAATGAAAGCAGGTGAGAAGATGGGCTAAAAGTCAAAGAAACGATTAAATCAGGTTTTATTTAAACTGACCATTTCAGTGTTTTAATTTGCATGTTGAATAGATACCTTAATTTTAAAGAGCGGCAAGTCCTCTGATTCCAGACTCTGAATCCAGACCCAAGTTGGTTTGGATCTTTATTACAGGTAGATCCAAATCTAAATGTTCTTGAACTTGGGGTGTAAACTTTTACAAAGTTCCAGGTGTTTAGGTTTGTTGTTCTGATACAGGCCACTACAGAGAGAGATTTCTGCTGCAAACTCAGATCTAAACCTATATCTGCATCTTAAGTTTGTTTATGGAGCTTTGGTTGTGATTCATCTCTCAAATATATTGTTAGTTATTAACCCAACGCTGCGTCATTGAATTCAATGGTAGCACTTTCAGTGACTTCAGTGGGAGCAAGGACAGGCCTTATTACCATACAGCGTATGCCAAACCGAATTCTTTGTTGCATGCAACCCAGAAAAGCCAGTGAGTTAGCCCAAGGTGTATGTCAGTGCAGAATATGACCGACGTCTGAGTTCTCTGATTTTGGTATGAAAGGTTATGTTGTTCAATCTCGCAGAGGAAGGTCTAACATGATCCAATGGCTGGAAGTTGAAGCTAGATAAATTCATAGTGGAAATAAGGTGTAAGTGTTTAACAGTGAGGGTAATTAGCCATTGGAGCAATTTATCATAGGTCATGGTGGATTCTTCATCCCTGTCAATTTTTTAAAATTAAGATTGGATGTTTTTCTAAAAGCTCTGCTCTAGGAATTATTTCGGGGAAGTGCTATGGCCTGTGTTAGACAGGAAGTCAAACTAGACGATCACATTGGTCCATTCCGGCCATGGAATCTGTGAATCTATGAGTAAATGGGAGCAACTACCACTGGCTTCAAAGGTAATTGCACCTGTTTATGGCAGGAATATTGTTCATGGACTGTAAAACTACCTTTAAGGCAGCATTGAAAAGTGCTAGGGAAAGTGCTTTGGGCTTGATCTGCTTGGGCCACCTGCTGAAAAGTCATAGAACATCCCTGTAAATGTGCTGGATTTTCTTCTACATTTGTATCAAATCACATGCTTCGGGGTGTAAAATGATCTCTAGGAAGGGGTTCAGGAAGGAACCACTCCCAATAGCCACCCACTATTGCATGGCCGGTTAAATACATTATTGGGAGGAAGCGGTTTCCTTCAACTGAAGCTACTGCTAGAGACAGGATTTTGGGCTCGAAGAACTGACCAATGGTTTCTGGTTGTGGAGTGTCCTAATGTAAAGTAACGTTCCCTCCTGGTTTTGTTGATCTGTCCTTCTGCCTGGCTGAATTCTTTGTTGTTGTTGTGTTTTTTAGTTTAATGACCAGTTGATCAGCCCTAAGCACTTTGTTCACTTGGCTGGCAAGTCTACCCTGAAGGACTGGAAGAGAGCCATTCGCCTTGGAGGAATCATGTTGAGGTATGACCGTCCACCATGGTAGCCAGCTTCAGCACTTCCTCAGTGCAGCAATAGAATCCTGTGCAGACATTTCATCTGCCTCTGTGTCTTCAATACATGCCAGTTAAATCTCTGATCAAGAAAAAGTGGATGGAACAGCAGATCCCTTCTAATGTGGATGGACAGCAGCTTGCAGGACCTTTAGGGTGAAATCCTGGCCCCACTGAAGTCAATGGGAGTTTTGTCATTACTTCACTGGCAGCAGGATTTCACCTTGCGTCCCAGAGATTATGTGGTGAACATATACAGGTAGGGTTGTATGGTATTTAATGGGGTATAAGGGTACTGTCACACGGCCAGAGCCGTGTATACAAAGTTGGAGAATGGAGACACGAGGGCCACTGTTAAGATCTTCTGGGGGACTCATGGGGGCACATGGGTTTCTTGTTCTTCCTCCTCCCCATGTGGTCATAGCTGTCCCTCTGACCTGTTGGTTTCTTCAGGCTGAGATCCAAGCTGAGTTCACTGCATAGTTCTCTCCCCATTCTGTGCACAGGAAGATGATGGACTCTGGGCAAATCGACTTCTACCAGCATGACAAGGTTTGCACCAACACCTGTCGAAGCACCAAATTTGATCTCCTGATCAGCAGTGCCAGAGCACCAGTGCCGGGGCAACAGACAAGTGTGGTGCAGACGCCCACATCAGCTGATGGTAGGGGACAAAGCCAGCTAGAAATGCCGTGTGTTACCCTGTAGCACTTCCCTCCTCCCTCCTGCCTCTTGCTCCCTGAGACTGTCCAGTTGTCTCTGTTTGTTTTCTGTGTGCAATGTCCTAATGCAGTGCGCCACCACCTCTCTCATGTTGCGGTCCCACATCTCAAATTACTTTTTACTTGCACCCAAGGTGTTTCAAAAGATTCCTGGGAGGAGTGAAGCTTCCTGTTGCATCTGCTGGAAGTGGGGATCAGTGGGATCAAGCAATGAACTGTACACTGTAAGGTTCGGGGTGGGGAGCCGCCAGCAATGCACTGGTGGTGGACGTAGACAGCTTTGGGACCCAACGGAAAACTGCTGGTAACTGACCTCTTGGCAATCTCTGTTCTAAAGTACTTGGGTGTGGAACACAAAACAGCTCATGAAAAAACAGTTGAAAGACACCTGCTTGCAGTGGTTTTCCTGACGCATGTCCTATTTGCAGGCCTATTAGAGGGTCATGTGAAAGGGAGTATATTGGATTTCTAGTGGGCTCAGACATATATTGGATGGGTCTTTTTACTCTGAAAAATAAACAAATGGAATATTTAAAACCCCGGCCAGCCGGGATCCGGCTCCCACTTCTACCTCTGGCAGTGTATTTCCACCTGTAGCCTTACCAGTTTGTCCTGTTTTCAACATGCTGTAGTTGGTAACCCTACACCTTGGCTTTTGGTACCATTTACATACATGATGCATGGCTTCTGCATTGGTGCTGCCATTTCAGGCTGGTACTCAGAATCAAAATGAAAAACAAAAGTCCTTCCAAGTTTAATGTTGTTTAGAAAGTCAACGAAGCAGTTACTCTGGGTGGAGACTTTGAATGACCAATAGCATTTTAACTATGAATGCTGATATTAGGCTGATCAAATCTCATACTTCGGGACATAAGCCAATCTTTTGCAGAGGTCAGGAAGGAGATTTCCTCCCCTTGTACATTATCATACAATTGGCTAGGTTACTTTCCTCTAAGTCTGAAGTGACAGCCAGTGTGTGAGGTATGATGCCAGTCGTGATAGGCCAGTGCTCTGATCCGATATGGACAGTCCTATGTTCCCAATGTGACAAGGCAGGGAAATGACTGACCCATTTGCTTCTTAAGTTCCCTCCTTTATTCTGATCCCTTCTGCTACTTTTACACCAGGATGGGTCTCTGGTTAACTCTTTGGACAGGGAGCGGCTTTCCATCCACAAACCCTAGTGCATTTCATAGATATGGTTCCACTGACAACAAACAACATCTGCTTTTTGCTAGTTTGGTTTATAGATACAAATAGCCTGACAGAGAGTGAAAAACCCTGGGGGAGTGGAAAGTAAAACTGCTGATTGGAGCGTGAAATTCCTGGTGCTGTCGAGAGACATGAAGCCTCCTCTTCTGGATCCTTTTGCAGGGAGCATCACCCAAATCGCATTGTCCGAGGAGAGCATGGAGGAGGGGATTGAATGGAACTCTGCTCTGACGGCTGCTGTCACCATGGCCACTGAGGAGGGCATCAAGAAGGACACAGAGGAGATTTCGGGTAAGTTCATACTGTCTTTTGGCTATTCTCCGCCACCTGTCCACATTTTCTGAGTGAATATAAGGCTGATGAAAGGTTCCAGATTTACAGCCTGGGAGACTAACGTCCTCAGAACAGGTATGACATAGGCAGCAGTAGTGCAAGTTTCCCCTCTCCCCTGCAAACACACACGGTGCCCCCTACTGCAAGTAAGGGGTGAGTTCAGTCTCTAAAGCCCATTCAGTCCTTGGCCTCGCTGCTGAGATAACCAAGCAGGTCAGTTAGTGCCTGTTACGATATGGGGGCTCTTTATGAAAGAGACCCCAGCCTACCAGGAACTGAGCAGAGACCACCCACTCATTTTCCACAGGCCAGCGAACAACTTCGGACTAGTGCCACATTCAGTCCCTATTGGCCATGGCTGGATTCAAACTACTGACCTAGAGGCAAAGCCCTCCTTAGCTTATTACCAGTTCTCTGAGCCATCCACTTTCTCCCTGCACTATTGTTACAGGTGCTTCACTGGCCCTCCTCATACCTGTCCAGAAGCTTAGGCAGAGTTCCCCAGGCCAGCAGGTGAAGACCATAGACTCTGTATCTTGTGCAGACAGGCAGAGGTAGTGAAGCACTGCTCTTAAAGTCGTAAGCTGTATGAAAGTCCTCACTAGTGATGTTTACTTCCCAGATCCATTTTTTTTTTCTGTTTTTTGCATGTCATGTCCGCCCTGATGGCCAGATTAGAAGCCGGCTTCCAAAGTTACTGCTGCATGACAGCGCGCTGCTCTTGGAACGGTTTTAATGTAGCCTTGCGGGAAAATGCCAAATGCTTGTCCGTGTCGAATTCTTCTCCCTCCTGTCTCTTCCTGTGCCAGAGGACACACTGATGTTCTGGAAAGGAATAGCCGATGTGGGGCTGATGGAAGAGGTCGTCTGCAACATCCAGAAAGAGATAGAAGAGGTGCTGAAAGGTGTCCAGCAGAGGCTCGGCCAATCTCCCTTCCAGATCACAGGTGGGTGGGAGGCCGGCAGCCTCTGTGTTGATATTAAAGGATTACTGAGAAAGTGGCTATGGTCAGAGACGGGAAGGGAAAATTGGCCCTTTCCTACTCACAAAATCCTTTCCTGGCATCAAATTCTCTTTTTAGTTACACCCATGTTTTGTTTTGGTCTTTTTCATTCACCTTTGGGCAGACAGATGACAGTTTCAGAAAGCCGTATGTAATGGAAAAACTTGTGCAACCTTCACTATTGCTGGAGCGCTAATGACACTGCCAGCATTATGGGCAGAAAAATTGTAGGGGGTGGTCTAACAGCATATTTGCATATACAGATGATGCTTTAATTTGCAGCTATTCAGAGCTGCTTGAGCGACAGGTCTTTGTTTTATTTATTTTGATATGAACAGAGTTGTTCCATCTTTGGATGTCCACGGGGTTGGGAATGCCCTCCCCAGCCAGCACTCCTGGAATTGCACTCTGGAAAAATTAAGAACTTTTTATAGAAAGCACTAGAGGATTTTAGGCATACTAAATAAATCTCACCTGCCTGGCTCCTTGACTGGAAGCTCAGGCTGTCTAAGGAATTTTAGGCACTCACACATGTGGGGTTTCCTTGCAGATGCTGCAGTCCTGAATAATGTGGCGCACACTTTTGGCCTGATGGACACAGTCAAGAAAGTTTTGGACAACAGGAAAAGCCAAACAGAGCAGGGAGAAGAGCAGTTTCTTTATACTTTAGCAGGTATGGTCAATGCCTAGGAAATTCTTTGTTAGTGAAACCTGGTGTCCCATCACAGCTCTCTAGAGCTGATGTGACTCATGCGCTTTCCTATTTGACTTTGAACAAATGCAAAACAATACGTTGCTCCCTTTATTTAAAACCTGAATTTGCCTTTTTTTCCATACACCAGCATGCAACTGGTGTGTTATCCTGTGTCACTGCAAATTATTGACATACTGCATCATGAAACACGTGCACTTGAATCTCCATCCATTCTAGGGATCAGGTAGGAATCCCCCAAAGTCCCTTGTGTAGCAATGAGCCGTTGGCCTGGGGTGTTAGGGAGTGTGTAGTATTAGGTATGCCCTCTGCTGAGGGAAGGATACTGGCCTTGCTGGACTTCTGGTCTGCTTCACTATGGCTGATGCTTCCTCTTCTTATTTTCAGTGATATCCCCCAAAGATCCTTATCTGAGCTCTGTTTGTGCTGGAGACCCAGCTTCGGGAGTGGCCTTGGGACTCCCAGTCCCTGCGACAGCTCATGAACGCCATCCATCCTGAGATGGCACCCAACCGAGCTCAGGAGATGGCACTCGCTGCCGCGGTCTCTCCTAGCTGGAACAGGCATGTGCAGCAATGGCACCCATCTTCTCGGCAGTGAAAACAAGGCTGTGAGCAGAGAAGTAGAGGTAGATCACCACTCCAGAATGAGGAGACAAGGGGAATCCCAAGGACCTTGGTCCTTAATTCTCCATCGCATTGCACCTTGTGCAGCCATTTACACAAATGCAATGTGTGGGTGTAAAAAGCTACCAGCTCAGAAAGGCAGTGTTCTGCCTCCACTCTGCACAGGTGTGAATGGTCGCTGAAGCTGCAGGGCCATAGTCAGTCTGGCCCCGGTCTTGAACAAAGTTTTGTCCGAAGTGGATTGAGGAGAAACACTTGATTGGACGTCTGAGATGCCCCGCTGCAAAATAAATAATATGTGGCACCAGATGTTGCTGATTCTATGGAGTCCCTTTAAGTATCTCCCTCTGTTTTCAGTGACTCAAGCTTTCTCTGAATATGCTGCATTGTCATTCTTCTTGCAGACTTGGAACGCCAGCTGGAGGAGCAGAAGAAGCTCGCCAGGGATCAGAAGATGAAGTCTCAGACGATCCAGAACGTGGTGCTGATGCCAGTCAGTGCTCCGAAACCCCCTAAGAGACCTCGTTTGCAGCGCCCGGCCTCAGCCACAGTCTTGAGTCCCTCCACCCCTGTCCAGCAGCCTCAGTTCACAGTCATCTCACCCATTGCCATCGCACCTATGGGACAGCAATTCTCAGTGGGCAACATTCCAGTGGCAACCATCAGCCAGGGATCCAGCCCAGTGACTCTCCACACCTTGCCATCCTCACAGCTCTTCCGATATGCCACCGTGGTGTCTTCCTCCAAGTCCAGTTCATCTGACACTGTAACCCTTCATCCGTCCTCGAGCTTGGCCCTGCTGAGCTCAGCTGCTATGCAGGACAGCGGTGGGCTGGCTAATGTGGCCACGGTGGTGAACCCTGTGGAACTGGTGGCCATGGAGTCTGGCCTGACCTCTACCATCCAAGCTGTAGAGGGCACCTCAGAAGATGGACAGACCATCATAGAGATAGACCCGGCACCAGATCCTGAAGCAGAGACTGAGGAATCAGAGGGCAAAGCTGTGATTTTGGAAACTGAGCTGAGGACAGAGGAGAAAGTGATGGCAGATGTTGAGGACCATCAGCACCAGGTGCACAATGTAGAGATCGTTGTCTTGGAGGATTAGCAAGGAAGGCAAATCTCATTGGTGGGATGGGTTGTTTTTTGTTTTGGTTAAACTTTTTTATTTTGACAGTCATCCTGTTCGTTGCCATCGATCTTTTTCATTTTTACAGTCCAAAAACGGGAAAAGCTGGAGAAACATGGAGAGGCCCAAGAAAAGGCTCCATCTCCATGGAGTGATGGACAAAATCAACCCTTTCTGCAGGGAGGAAGGAGGAGTGATTCTGCAGACCAGAAGGGGAGAGCACCTTTCCTTCCTGAGAGCGCACAGTGATACAGTCCATATTCTCGTTTTTGCCCAGGCTAGGACTATTTTATTTGAGAGAGACTCTCTGGCCAGTAACTGGAGCATTGATCTTACTGCTGGAAGGGGTTGGTTATTGCTTTGGGGGAAACAGGTACCTCATTTTTATTTTTTCCCAGGGAAGGGAATTCTGTCCAACTCCTCATTATCAACTATGCTGGTATTTTGCTTTTGGCAAGGAAGCAGCAACCCTGACTGTAGTGTTCATTGTCCCCTTTCCCACACCCTGTGGGTTTTTTTGTTTGTTTTGTTTTTTTGCTTTGCTCTCCCTTCCCCTTTCCAGATCTGCTGGCTGCTAAAGTGCTTAAGCTGCTTTTGGGTTCTGTCACCCAAATCCTGCTTCTTCCCTTCCTGGCCTTCTCCCTCCCAGGCCTTGTAAGTTTCTTTGCTGCAGGACACTGTTACAAGACACTGCTCGCTTAAGCCTGGTGCGTAAAGGAGAAGAATCAACCCACTGGTAAAAACACAGCCCTCCCTTTAGCATAGCGCTGACCTCCTGGATGTATAAAGCGTGTGTTGTGCTGTTGCTTCCTGGGAGAGCTGGACTCCACGGGGCAGGAGCCCCATCTGTTTATGCCGCACGCTGGAAACTGTACTTGCTAGTTGCTACATGTTGGTGTGTGAGTTTTTTCTTTTTTTCCCTTAATCTATTTGCAGGATTAGAACGGGCATATTATTTTAGCGTTGTGACTGCCTCAGCATCCCCGCTCCCCCCGCCACTTCTTTAGTGGGGGGGCTCTTTTGTTTCTTTGTGGGGCGAGGAAGGGAAGGAGGGAATCTATTTTTAGTTCAACTGTTGAATTGTGGGGAATTGGGAGGGCTGGGGGAAATCTGCTTGGCTGAAATATATTAAGCAAAACAGTAACAACAGAAATAGACCCGGAGGGGGGGAGGAGGAGGAGGAGGAGGGGGAAGTGTGTGGTTATTTTATTTTATTTTTTAATTTTTTTTGCATTAAAAGGAAAAATCTAAATGCATCTAGATTATTAATGGGAAGGACTACCGTGAATTTGTTATTTGTATTTTAATAGCACCTCAATCCAGATTGCCCTGTTTTGCCAGGCACTGCACCTGCACATAGGAAATAGTCCATGAATATAGCACTTGCACTGTAAACAAAGGAAGAGAGAAAGGAAATATTATTTATTAGAGACAGACATTAAAGGCCTGATTTTCCACTCGACTGTAGCTTGTCACTGGGTAAAGGGGGTGTATGATGCTACCATTCTGGGTTGGTAGCATTTTATACCCACTCTGCATGGATATAAATAACGTAACGTGCAAGGCAGGGAGAACTGGGCCCTTTGACTTGCCCCTGTTTGCACAGGTGTTCTTAGGCAGAGCTGGTAATTGAACCCAGATCTCCTGAGTCCCAGACCACAGCTTTAAACCACCAGATCATCTTGTCACCGTTTCAGGGTTAACCCCGCACCTCCCCCACTCGGGTCTTAAAGGTTTCAGGCTTCCCAGCTATTACCTTTCTCGGGCGGAGAGCCAGTCTCTCTTCCTCCATATCTGGGGGTTTAGGCTTGCAATCTGTCTAAACTTCTCTGTGTTTTCCCCAGCAGTAGTGCTGACCAGGGTCCAGCACCTGTGATTAATCTTTCCCCAGGGGCTACAACAGTGTATACCAGTTAATAGCCAGCCTTCACAAAACAAAATACATTTATTCTGAGGGAGAAAGCATTGCAGAGAAAACATATAAAAAAAACCCAAAAGTTCCTAACCACATGCTAAAATCTCACCAGAGATCACCGATCCGTTTATTGGGCTCTAGCAAGCCAAAGTCCTTCCAATCCTTCTGCAAGATCATAGAATCATAGAATATCAGGGTTGGAAGGGACCTCATGAGATCATCTAGTCCAACCCGCTGCTCAAAGCAGGACCAATCCCCAACTAAATCATCCCAGCCAGGGCTTTGTCAAGCCTGACCTTAAAAATCTCCAAGGAAGAAGATTCTACTACCTCCCTAGGTAACCCATTCCAGTGCTACACCACCATTCTAGTGAAAAAGTTTTTCCTAATATCCAACCTAAACTCTCTCACTGCAACTTGAGACCATTACTCCTTGTTCTGTCATCTGGTACCACTGAGAACAGTCTAGATCCATCCTCTTTGGAACCCCCTTTCAGGTAGTTGAAAGCAGCTATCAAATCCCTCCTCATTCGTCTCTTCTCCAGACTAAATGATCCCAGTTCCCTCAGCCGCGCCTCATAAGTCATGTGCTCCAGCCCCCTAATCATTTTTGTTGCCCTCTGCTGGACTCTTTCCAATTTTTCCACATCCTTCTTGTAGTGTGGGGCCCAAAACTGGACCCAGTACTCCAGATGAGGAGTTGGTCTGAATTCAACAAGATGGAATTCAATAAAGACAAGTGCAAAGTACTACACTTAAGAAGGAAAAATCAAACGCACAACTACAAAAATGGGGATTAACTGGCGAGGTGGTAGTACTGCTGAAAAAGACACGGGGAGTTATAGTGGATCACAAATTGAATGTGAGTCAACAACATGATGCAGCTGCAAAAAAAGGCTAATATTCTGGGGTGTATTAACAGGAGTATTGTATATAAGACATGGGAGATAACAGTTCAGCTTTACTTGGCACTGGTAAGGCTTAGTTCTGAGCATCACACTTTAGGAAGGATGTGGACAAATTGGAGAGAGTCCAGAGGAGGGCAACAGAAAGTGATAAAAGGTTTAGAAATCCTGCCCTATGAGGCAATGTTTTAAAAAACCAGAATGTCTAGTCTGGAGAAAAGAAGAATGAGGGGGGACCTGATAGTCTTCAGCTATGTTAAGGACTGCTATAAAGAGGACAGTGATCAATTGTTTGCTGAAGGCGGGACAAGAAGCAATGGGCTTAATCTGCAGCAAGGGAGATTTAGGTTAGATATTAGAAAAACTTTCTAACTATAATGTAGTTAAGCTCTGGAACAGGCTTCCAGGGGAGGTTGTGGAATCTCCTTCATTGCAGGTTTTTAAGAACATGTTGGACAAACACCTGTCAGGGATGGTCTAGAGAGAAGGTGGGTGAGGTAATATCTTCTATTGGACCAACTTTTGTTGGTGAGAAAAACAAATTTTTGATCTTACACAGAACTCTTCTTCAGGGATGGTCTAGGTTTATTTGGTCCTGCCTCAGTGCAGGGGCTGTATTGACTTCTGGAGGTCCCTTCCATCCCTACATTTCTATGACTCTGTAAATCATTCCTAAATTTAATACAATATAGACCCCAAATGTACTGCATGCTGTTGCAATATTGGTCACATTTCCTTTCTCTCACATGCTCATTTCTCCCCCTTCTATAGACCCTTTCATGTCCAGGAGTCTTAACTGGATTTCCCCTTCTCCCCTGGGAATGTGCAGGCAGGCCACCGTTGGCTTTGAGAGGTGGACTTAGGTCCTTTTTCCCAGAATTCTCTGCCTCCATGGGAGAACAGCTGGATGCAGATCACTGCTCACACCAGGGACCTTTCTGACTTTCAGATCGTTCCAAAAAAAAAAAAAATTTAACACATTTATACATTAGATCTTAAACTTGCAGACACTTCCCTTCCCTCTACCGAGGGCTTGGAGATGGAAAATTGGTGACTAAGGTGACATCCATGCTTTTGGAAGGTGGCCAATGAGGAGAGGCTATGCTGTGCTCCACTCCTGAAGCCCCACCCAGGAAGACCAGCATCTGCTTTGCTAGGTTAAGGAGCAGGGCCCAGGCAAGTTTTGCTCCCTTCTCAACAAAGTTTGAAACCTCCTCAAGATCCATTGAAATGGGGGCCACTATGTGTCTGACTTCCCGTGCCCCGTCAGCTCTTCGGATGGTGTGGTGCTGGATCAGCGTGACAGGCACACTGCGGGTTTGTTATAAAAGTCTCTGTGTCTGACCTGCCCTATGCACTTGGGATGCTCACTTCAGAGCTATTCTGAGCCTAGGGTCTCTGGATTTGTTTCTCTGCAGGGAATTAACTGCTCGTCACACAAGGGAAAACCACAGAACAATGCTTCCCAGAGACCTTTCTGGCTACTCTACATTTCTCTTCTGTGAACCGGGCCTATCAGTTTACCAGCCTAAAGCCTTGTTTTTACCAGTTCTAACTGCAATGGAGTATGGGGCTTGCTGCATTACCACTGCAGTTAATGGCAAAAACTTCCATTGACTTTACTGGGAGCTAGAACAAGTGAGTGGTAAGCAGAGTGAGTTGAGGTAAGGGGGGTGGGTTGGAGTTGCCCAGCACCACTGTGGGTTAGAATGCCCCCCATTTGAATGGGAAGTAGGAACAGCGGCAGTAGGGTTTAGCAGGGCAGCTGGACCCAAATCTTATCATTCATATAGAAAAGCGGACAGGGGACTGGCAGGCAGTGGGGTGGAGGGGCAGCCAGTGATCACTGGCAAAAGCCTGAAGTAGCAGGGCTGGTACAGGTACTGCCATGAAACACTAAAACGACAAGATCAGCCTGCTCACGAGGTGGGTTTAACACTGCAGCCTGGGTCAGGGTCCTGCTGTGATGGAAATCCAGCCTGTTAATGTCCCTGTATTCACCTTGAATGCGGAAAACTCTGCATGCTGGTGAAGTTAACGCATGGCCTCACGTTTGATTATTGCAACTGTGCAGCGCCCCCTCCACCTTTCCCTCTCCTTGCTTGTTTAACATAGGGAACTTTTGAAGGTCCGAGTGACGGTTCCAAATGGAATGCTACTGTCATGGAATGGCTGGCAAATCTTCAGCTCCTTCCAGCACCATCACAGGTTACAGTGCACGCTGCTGCACATGGGGAAGAGTAGGTGGCAACTGGCAATGCCAAGACCTCGGGCTAGTAAAGTTGGATGGCTTCCCCAACAGGTTTGGCAGCCGCTGCCGGAGTGCATCTCTGCCTGTTTTTCATTCTCTGTGGAGGCACTTCAACCACCACAAGGCCTGTGCTCTCTTGTGGGAAGTAAATGCAAGCAACCACGCTGAGCACACATCGCACAGTGCTGCTGGAGTTGGCGTCCCAGCTACAGGGGGGCACCAATACATGCTCCTCTGGGATCTTGCTTGAGTTTTGGTTTGCAGGTAAGTGGCAGGAGAAACTCCTGAGATCAGCAGCAGGCTATAGCCCATCCCTGGGTGGAGAAACCTTAAAGAACCCCAAACTCTAAGGTATAGACATTGTTTTTGAAGGTTAATGGGAACTTGGCAGATCAATGAACGATGAGCACAGACTAACAAAAGCCTGAGATCCATTGAGAGAATTATAAGATATTTAGTAGGTAAGTTTGGTAACACCTGTCACTAGTTGAATAAATGGAAAACTTCCAACTACACACAGATGCTTCCTGGCTCCATCCCCTGCAATCCATACTCCCTCCACCTCCAAACTGCTAGGGCTCTTCCAGGGGGTGAGGAATCTGGCTGACTCATGATGTTTAGGGTTTGAGGTGGGAGGAAAACAATCTGTACCTTTAGGAAGCCCTTATTTACCATCTTCCTCCAACCCACTCCTCCCCACACACACCATATGCTGGCTTCATGTCAGTGCAATTATGTTCTGCAGAAAGGAGGCTCAACTGAAGATCCCTTCAGCTTTATGATGACCTGATTGCAAGAGGTGCCAGATACCTACAACTCCCATCAAAATCAACATTGCAAGGCTGTGATATTGCAAACAGCCATGTTTGCTCTCTTGGGAAATGCTGTAGTCTCTATGGTGGAGGCTCGTTTGTAATACTCAATTTTATTAACAATACCTATGCATTAAACATTAAGGGCCCGATCTTGCAAACACATAAGCCCCCATCCAGCAGACCTCAGGGCGGACGTGT